TGGCTTGCACAAGTGCAAGGTTATAGAGTGGGACCACACACATAAAAATACTTTGTTGTTTTTCTGATTATCTCAGCAGTAAAAAGCAGCTGCAGTTCTTGGATTTGAACCCAGGTATGCTGTGACAGCTTCAGATGTCCTGCTGTGTGCTCTGACCACTACACCATCACCACACACATAAACCCACATTTCTTTCTCCAATGGGAGGATAACCACATTCTACACATTTTGAAAAAAAAAAAACTAAATAAACACAAATAATTCATATCAAATGTAAATTATTTTAAATAAATGTAAACTGCATCATATGCGAATATATTATTATATTTCACTATTCAAAATGTGGAAAACATGCTTATTCTTCAATCAGACACATGAACATGTTTCAAATTATCTTACAGCTGCTTGTGGGGCTTTAAATGTCACTAAACACAATTAAACACTGGAAAATATCATCATTTACTTCTAAAGTCTCCTCATACTGTACTGATGACTCTACACCAAATCTGGCCAATCACATGCTCTCCACAGAAAGTCCCTCCCCCAACAAACACGCGACAGAGCAGCAGCACAACAAACACACTTTCTGGACTCTCTACTGGAAATATGAGCTCATAAATACCTTTCCTGGAGCTGTGAATCCGCCTGGATGTGGAGGAGCGTGTGGAGGAGCGTCAGCTGTTGAGCGCAGCTCAAAGATCTGCAGCAGAAACACAACAGACACACGTGTGTATCTTCACTGCTGCAGAGGAGAGAGAGAGAGAGAGCAATGACTGAACACAAACACTACAACAACATCACTACAAACTAAACCAACAAAGCAAAGTCCCTTACAGGTGAGTCGCGTTACTCTCCATTTCTGCACTTGGTGTGGCTTTTCTTCGCTGTCGGGCTGTAATATCTGCTGTTGACTGACATTATGAGTCTGTCACTGAGCTGTCATCTGCTACTGGAGCTCAACTTGACGCCAGTAAAACGGTGTACCTGTGCTGATCTAGTGTCGCTGTTGTCAAAGGTGTTCAGACTAAAAGAGCAGCTCGCTGAATAAATAAATACTATTTAAATCAGGATCGGCAGAGAGGCAGGAATTAAACTCAGATCATCGTGAGCACAGTTTTGCTACATGTCTGTCTGTTTAACTAATTTTTAATGTTTAAAGCATATACTCAAACATCTAATCATTCATAAGTGATTAATTTTCTCACTTTATTTAGAGTTTCAGGGCATATTTTTGATTGACAGTGTAGAAATATCAAATAATTATCATTAAAATACGAAACAATTTTCAAAAAACTATTGATTTCAGGCTCAACATAAAAAATATTGTTGAATAAAATGTAAAACATAAACAAACTGATCAGTGAATGTCCGCTTGAACTGAGAAAATGTGACTTTAAACAGAGAGCAGCTGAAGCTGTATTGATTTGTTTTACTGTCTTTACTGCAGATGAAGTTGGTATGTGCTTGTCAAATAAACATTTCAGACGTTTCTATGGATGCTGCACAATTTTTATGTCAAATTTAAGAATTTGAGTCCTGAAGAATAAATAAATCAGTGGAGATGTCCAATAGCAGAGTTTCACTGTGTTTGTTTACAGTCTACTGTGGACATCAGCTGATTCACAAACACATTCATATTATCCACATTCAGTGCACTGCTCAGTCCTCTGCCATTTTGATCTATATAAGAGTATTTTGTAGTCTGCTGAGTATAAGTGTGTACATACTGCAAAATGCACATTTAAAAATAGTCAATCACTCGGCTATTACTGTAATCTTTCTGAAGTGAAAGAACTGCAAAACACTTTATTAAACACCAACAGTTGAAGCAGAGGTTGATATTAATTCTGCCTGTTTTATATCAGAGCTTCAAAATACAACAGAATAAATATCTGCCGGTCTCTTTTGTTAAGTTTAATTATAATGTAGCCTAAATTTATCCATAACACAATAATGCAGGCCGCAAGTCAGATCACAGCTTACTCAAATTCATAAATATGGTTGATATGAACCTTCTGACTCTAGTCATATTTTATAGGAAATGAATGAGCATATTAAACTGTTTCTGGAGGTTTACCTAAACAAATCACAAACCTACTAAATATCAGAGAACAATTGAGCTTATTGAATCAATGCAGAATATGCAGCACCTCAGAATCATTCGATTTGCAAAGGTGTAATTCAGAAATATCTTTACACAAGCGTGAAACGTTTAACTTCATTATTTTATAACAGCAGCAGTGCAGTTCACAAACATCAGCACAAGAGTAATATATATTATAATATTTAAACTCATAAGATTTGTTATGGTGTAATTCTGAGAAATCTCTAAACGAGGGCAATAAAATGTTGGTTGTCAGCAATAGAGGAGGAAAATACACATAACGACAGCTGCGCCACAGGAAGGTGAAATCTCAGTGCTTTACATTTGCTGTGCTAAAATTCAGAAAAAACATCGGCACAATCTTTCAAATCAATAAATCTGGAAATGTGTAATTCAGAAATATCTCCACAGGAGGGCGACATGTTTACATTCATTCAATTACATTTGCAGTGGTGTCATTCACCAAAATCACCACACGAGGGCAAATATTTAAAAGTCAATAGATTCGCCGTGGTGTAATTCAGAAATATCTCCACAGGAGGGAGAAACTTTGAAATTTAGTATTTTAGAATGGCAGCAGTGCAGTTCACAAAAATCACCACAAGAAGGTGCTGTTATAGCGAATATTTTAAATTCAGCAGATTCAAGATTTGCAAAAGTGTAGTTCAGAGAAATCTCCACAGGAGGGCGCAATATTTGATACATATGTAATATTTGTCTATTTGTCTATTGTTAGATCAGATATTCAGCGTGTGTAAAAATGTGTTTATTTGTGTGTCGACTCTACAGGATCAGTGAAGTGTTGTGGACTGTAAGCCTGTTGAACAGAAGCAGAGACGAGTGGACAGACACTGACTGTACTGATGATGATCATCTGCTGCTGCACAGGTGATGTACATCATGTGTGTGATTGTGTGTGTGTGTCTGTTCCACATGTCGGTTACCATCATTTGCTTTGTGGAGGGTCACTCCTCTACAAAGTAAATGATGGTAACCGAAACGGGTGGGGAAGGGACGCAGGTCCAGAATTTTTATACAGTTCATTTTAAATTTTTTGCCAGGCTGTAAAGTATAACCCCTGCTGGACACGGCTCCGGAAGCTCCAGGGGGAGACCGAACTGGTATCCCCCCTTCTTCAGGCGCGCCTCACACTCACTCACCATTCATTCATATCGCAGAGTTCTGGCTGGCCTTGAACCAGCAACCCCTGAAGCCGTGGGGCAGCGCTCTTACCACAGAGCCACAGATCTCCATGTCTGAACACTTGCTGGAACTGATGTTGGACTGCTGACCTGTGTGTGAGCTGATTCAATAAAACAAGATATATGTCAGATCTGAACCCTTGTCTTTATGAGTCTCTTCCTCAGAGAACTTGTGTTTATTCACTCATCAACCATCATTAGTTTCACATCAGCGTCCATCATCTTGGTGAACATAATGAATTGTGTGGGACATTAGCCATGGTGAGGTTTGAACCCGGGTCTCCTAGATTAAAGCTCAATACTTTAAGACCTGAGCCACTGAATCTGGACAGTGAAGGAGAGGTCAGATTGGGGCTTTATCACTATTCTCATTATGACCAGGGTTTGACACATGTTTCTTTGTAATTTGGGCCACGAAAAACCTGCTGCCAAATGTCAAACCCTGTGGCTCAAAGGATGAGCGTTCGCCTGCTATTTAGAAGTGTGAAGGATCGAATCTTATTTCTGCCAGATCGAGATACAAGTCAGATTTGAACTCTTGTCTTTATGAGTCTCTTCCTCAGAGAACTTGTGTTTATTCACCCATCATGGGTTTCGTTCCATCATCAGGGGCTCCTGGTCAGTATAATGAGGTCAAGATGGACATTAGCCATAGTGAGGTTTGAACCCGGGTCTCCTTGATTAAAGATCAATAGTTTATGACTTGAGCCACTGAGTCTAGATGGTAACAATGAGGCTTTATCACTGTTTTCATCATGACCAGGGTTCACCCTATGTTTCTTTGTAATTTGGCTCACAAAACAACTGCTGCCTGATGTCAAGCCCTGTGGTTCAGTGGATGAACCTTCGCCTGCCATACAGGAGACATGGGTTCAAAGCCCTCCATTGCTTACTTTACTTTCGGTTGCTGGAATTCAATCAAACAGTGTGGCCCAAACAGCAGCTGACAGACTGAAAGCCATGATGGGCTAGTGGATGAACAAATGATTGCAGTGAACAAGGTAACGACAGAGGCCTGGGTACGAAACCCACCTTGATGTGTGGTTCGCACAAGAGCAAGGTTATAGAGTGGGAACACACACATAAAATTACTATGTTGTTTTTCTGATTATCTCAGCAGTAAAAAGCAGCTGCAGTTCTTGGATTTGAACCCAGGTATGCTGTGACAGCTTCAGATGTCCTGCTGTGTGCTCTGACCACTACACCATCACCACACACATAAACCCACATTTCTTTCTACAATGGGAGGATAACCACATTCTGCACAATTTAAAAAAAAAAACTAAATAAACACAAATAATTCATATCAAATGTAAATTATTTTAAATAAATGTAAACTGCATCATATGCGAATATATTATTATATTTCACTATTCAAAATGTGAAAAACATGCTTATTCTTCAATCAGACACATGAACATGTTTCAAATTATCTTACAGCTGCTTGTGGGGCTTTAAATGTCACTAAACACAATTAAACACTGGAAAATATCATCATTTACTTCTAAAGTCTCCTCATACTGTACTGATGACTACACCAAATCTGGCCAATCACATGCTCTCCACAGAAAGTCCCTCCCCCAACAAACACGCGACAGAGCAGCAGCACAACAAACACACTTTCTGGACTCTCTACTGGAAATATGAGCTCATAAATACCTTTCCTGGAGCTGTGAATCCGCCTGGATGTGGAGGAGCGTCAGCTGTTGAGCGCAGCTCAAAGATCTGCAGCAGAAACACAACAGACACACGTGTGTATCTTCACTGCTGCAGAGGAGAGAGAGAGAGAGCAATGACTGAACACAAACACTACAACAACATCACTACAAACTAAACCAACGAAGCAAAGTCCCTTACAGGTGAGTCGCGTTACTCTCCATTTCTGCACTTGGTGTGGCTTTTCCTCACTGTCGGGCTGTAATATCTGCTGTTGACTGACATTATGAGTATGTCACTGAGCTGTCATCTGCTGGAGCTCAACTTGACGCCAGTAAAACGGTGTACCTGTGCTGATCTGGTGTCGCTGTTGTCAAAGGTGTTCAGGCTAAATGAGCAGCTCGCTGATTCCACCTAGTGGAGCGGATGGGATCTGCACTTTAATGCAGAAAAATCCATGTCAGCATGCAGATACTATGGGAGAAAGACTGACCAAATCTGCCTCTTGCAGTTTACAATTTTTTTTTCATCCACTCATTGCGTTTTCATTCATTCGTAGTTTGTTGGTAAAATTATCATTTGTGTCTGCTAAATTAGTTGTGTGCTGAATTGTACACCTGTCACACTCTAAAACTTAATATTAATTTGGTTAAGAGCTTATTAGAAAATAAATAAACTGAATTTGTATATTAAATAGAGCATGAACTCATACATTGTGAATACACTTTAATGTGTGATGAGAACTTTTAAAATGTTTTTAATAACGTGTGTTGTGATGGAAATGACATTTCAACAGTTTATTGTGAAAATAATGAAAAATAGCTTCACCGATTAGCTTTGAATTGATACAAGCCTTTCATGTATACAAAACACTCTTATTTACCCTCATTTTGTTTTGGTTTTTAAAAACATCTTTGAAGGTACAGCATGTTTGGAAATGATGTAGAATAAATGTATTTCCTTATCAAGCAATATTTATCTTGATTTTTCTTCAAGTGTTGTTGATGAAAACTTAAATTCCCTCCATCCTATACATGTTCTCAGATGGCACTATTCATTTTCATAGAAACCACCTAAATAATCTTTCACACAAACCTTTTAAAGAGACATTACAGTGTTGTGGTGGAAATGACACTGATACTGTGCGACAGCTATATTTTATATAAAAAATAATATTGATGATAGTCTCACATTATTAACTATAAAATATTTACCTTATTTCACTAGTGCTTCATTAAGATACATTAATAGATACCAGATAAATAATACTTTAAAATTTTCTTTTCATTGTTGAAGTTTAAAACTCTGAGTGTGCGACAAGGTGAAAACAGTGATTTTGACACCTAAAAGAAGGTTGAATAATATGAAAAATATATAATAGAAAGGTAGTAATTTTTTAAAGAAGGTTTTATTGTTAGTTTGACAAAGAAAGAGGACTTCGAACAAAATTATATATATGTTTGGATATTTGATCAAAGGACATAAAAATGCTCGTAGTTGAAGAATTAATCAGATCCTGAAAATAGAGATTTGACAGACTCAGACGCTTCAGCTGAACACATCACTACATTAGGTCATGTTTAACTTCAGTCACTGATCAAAATCATGTCAAAGATTAAAAACTGATTCAAATAATCATAATAATAAAGTCAACAAGAACAGATTTTGATCCTTCCTGAAACAGATGAAGACAGAAAACGACTCGCTTCAACAGGAAGCAGAACTGTGCTCACGATGACCTCAGTTTAACTCAAGCCTCTCTGTCATTTGAAGATCTCCATAAAAACTGTGTAATATTTAGCATTTGATGATAAGTCTCTATTTAATAATAATTACTTTTTTAGTTTAGACCTCAAGACTTTCTGCTTCCTTTTACACATTAAAATGTTTCTGGTTGTCAGCATCAGTGGAGGAAAATACACAGAACTACAGCTGCGCCACAGGAAGGTGAAATCTCAGTGCTTTACATTTGCTGTGCTGAAGTTCAGGAAAAACATCAGCACAATCTTTCAAATCAACTGAACTGCAAAGATGTAATTCAGAAATATCTCCACAGGAGGGCGACATGTTTAAATTCACACTATTAGATTTGCAGTGGTGTCATTCACCAAAATCACCACACGAGGGCGAACATTTTAAATTCATCAAGTTCGCAGTGGTGTAATTCAGAAATATCTCCACAGGAGGGAGAAACATTCATTATTTTAGAGCGGCAGCAGTGCAGTCCACAAAAATCCCCACAAGAGGGCGAATATTTTAAATTCAGTAGATTCAAGATTTGCAAAAGTGTAGTTGAGAGAAATCTCCACAGGAGGGCGCAATACTTGATACATATGTAATATTTGTCTATTTGTCTATTTTTAGATCAGATATTCAGCGTGTGTAATAATGTGTTTATTTGTGTGTCGACTCTACAGGATCAGTGAAGTGTTGTGGACTGTAAGTCTGTTGAACAGAAGCAGAGACGAGTGGACAGACACTGACTGTACTGATGACTATCATCTGCTGCTGCACAGGTGATGTACATCATGCGTGTGATTGGTTGTGTGTGTGTCTGTTCCACATGTCGGTTACCATCATTTGCTTTGTGGAGGGTCACTCCTCTACAAAGTAAATGATGGTAACCGAAACGGGTGGAGAAGGGACGCAGGTCCAGAATTTTTATACAGTTCATTTTAAATTTTTTTGCCAGGCTGTAAAGTATAACCCCTGCTGGACACGGCTCCGGAAGCTCCAGGGGGAGACCGAACTGGTATCCCCCCTTCTTCAGGCGCGCCTCACACTCACTCACCATTCACTCATATCGCAGAGTTCTGGCTGGCCTTGAACCAGCAACCCCTGAAGCCGTGGGGCAGCGCTCTTACCACAGAGCCACAGATCTCCATGTCTGAACACTTGCTGGAACTGATGTTGGACTGCTGACCTGTGTGTGAGCTGATTCAATAAAACAATATATATGTCAGATCTGAACCCTTGTCTTTATGAGTCTCTTCCTCAGAGAACTTGTGTTTATTCACTCATCAACCATCATTAGTTTCACATCAGCGTCCATCATCTTGGTGAACATAATGAATTGTGTGGGACATTAGCCATGGTGAGGTTTGAACCCGGGTCTCCTAGATTAAAGCTTATTACTTTAAGACCTGAGCCACTGAATCTGGACAGTGAAGGAGAGGTCAGATTGGGGCTTTATCACTATTCTCATAACGACCAGGGTTTGACACATGTTTCTTTGTAATTTGGCCCACGAAAAACCTGCTGCCAAATGTCAAACCCTTTGGCTTAAAGGATGAGCGTTTGCCTGCTATTTAGAAGTGTGAAGGATCGAATCTTATTTCTGCCAGATCGAGATACAAGTCAGATTTGAACTCTTGTCTTTATGAGTCTCTTCCTCAGAGAACTTGTGTTTATTCACTCATCATGGGTTTCGTTCCATCATCAGGGGCTCCTGGTCAGTATAATGAGGTCAAGATGGACATTAGCCATAGTGAGGTTTGAACCCGGGTCTCCTTGATTAAAGATCAATAGTTTATGACTTGAGCCACTGAGTCTAGATGGTGAACAATGTGTCTGAATGAGGCTTTATCACTGTTTTCATCATAAACAAGGTTTGACATATGTTTCTTTGTAATTTGGCTCACAAAACAACTACTTCCTGATGTCAAGCCCTGTGGTTCAGTGGATGAGCCTTCGCCTGACATACAGGAGACATGGGTTCAAATCCCACTATTGCTTATTTTACTTTCGGTTGATGGGATTCAATCAGACAGTGTGGCCCAAACAGCAGCCGACAGACTGAAAGCCATGATGGGCTAGTGGATGAACACATGGTTGTGTTGGAAAAGGTAACGACAGAGGCCTGGGTACGAAACCCACCTCGATGTGTGGCTCACACCAATGTGTGTGCAAGGTAATTAGAGCCGGAACACACACATAAAATTACTATGTTGTTTTTCTGATTATCTCAGCAGTAAAAAGCAGCAGCAGTGCTTGGATTTGAACCCAGGTGTGCTGTGACAGCTTCAGATGTCATGATGTGTGCTCTGACCACTACACCATCACCACACACATAAACCCACATTTCTTTCTCCAATGGGAGGATAACCACATTCTACACATTTTGAAAAAAAAAACTAAATAAACACAAATAATTCATATCAAATGTAAATTATTTTAAATAAATGTAAACTGCATCATATGCGAATATATTATTATATTTCACTATTCAAAATGTGGAAAACATGCTTATTCTTCAATCAGACACATAAACATGTTTCAAATTATCTTACAGCTGCTTGTGGGGCTTTAAATGTCACTAAACACAATTAAACACTGGAAAATATCATCATTTACTTCTAAAGTCTCCTCATACTGTACTGATGACTCTACACCAAATCTGGCCAATCACATGCTCTCCACAGAAAGTCCCTCCCCCAACAAACACGCGACAGAGCAGCAGCACAACAAACACACTTTCTGGACTCTCTACTGGAAATATGAGCTCATAAATACCTTTCCTGGAGCTGTGAATCCGCCTGGATGTGGAGGAGCGTGTGGAGGAGCGTCAGCTGTTGAGCGCAGGTCAAAGATCTGCAGCAGAAACACAACAGACACACGTGTGTATCTTCACTGCTGCAGAGGAGAGAGAGAGAGAGAGAGCAATGACTGAACACAAACACTACAACAACATCACTACAAACTAAACCAACGAAGCAAAGTCCCTTACAGGTGAGTCGAGTTACTCTCCATTTCTGCACTTGGTGTGGCTTTTCTTCGCTGTCGGGCTGTAATATCTGCTGTTGACTGACATTATGAGTCTGTCACTGAGCTGTCATCTGCTGGAGCTCAACTTGACGCCAGTAAAACGGTGTACCTGTGCTGATCTGGTGTCGCTGTTGTCAAAGGTGTTCAGGCTAAAAGAGCAGCTCGCTGATTCCACCTAGTGGAGCGGATGGGATCTGCACTTTAATGCAGAAAAATCCAAGTCTGCATGCAGATACTATTGGAGAAAGACTGACCAAATCTGCCTCTTGCAGAGTTTACAATTTTTTTTTCATCCACTCATTGCGTTTTCATTCAGCAACAGAAATACTTATAATATAAAACTTAATGAACGACTTAATACAAAATAGGATTAAAAATAAAGCAGCCAGTCATCTTTATAAGGCATTTAGTAAAGGAAATGTGTTCGTATTTTTTTGGTAAAAATTATCATTTGTGTCTGCTAAATTAGTTGTGTGCTGAATTGTACACCTGTCACACTCTAAAACTCAATATTAATTTGGTTAAGAGCTTATTAGAAAATAAATAAACTGAATTTGTATATTAAATAGAGCATGAACTCATACATTGTGAATACACTTTAATGTGTGATGAGAACTTTTAAAATGTTTTTAATAATGTGTGTGGTGATGGAAATGACATTTCAACAGTTTATTGTGAAAATAATGAAAAATAGCTTCACCGATTAGCTTTGAATTGATACAAGCCTTTCATATATACAAAACACTCTTATTTACCCTCATTTTGTTTTGGTTTTTAAAAACATCTTTGAAGGTACAGCATGTTTGGAAATGATGTAGAATAAATGTATTTCCTTATCAAGCAATATTTATCTTGATTTTTCTTCAAGTGTTGTTGATGAAAACTTAAATTCCCTCCATCCTATACATGTTCTCAGATGGCACTATTCATTTTTATAGAAACAACCTAAATATTCTTTCACACAAACCTTTTAAAGAGACATTACAGTGTTGTGGTGGAAATGACACTGATACTGTGCGACAGCTATATTTTATATAAAAAATAACATTGATAATAGTCTCACATTAACAACTATAAAACATTTACCTTATTTCACTAGTGCTTCATTAAGATACATTAATAGATACCAGATAAATAATACTTTAAAATGTTCTTTTCATTGTTGAAGTTTAAAACTCTGAGTGTGCGACAAGGTGAAAACAGTGATTTTGACACCTAAAAGGAGGTTGAATAATATGAAAAATATATAATAGAAAGGTAGTAAATTTTTTTAAAGTAGGTTTTAGTATTAGTTTGACAAAGAAAGAGGAATTTGAACAAAATTATATATATGTTTGGATATTTGATCAAAGGACATAAAAGTGCTCGTAGTTGAAGAATTACCCAGATCCTGAAAATAGAGATTTGACAGACACAGACGCTTCAGCTGAACACATCACTACATTAGGTCATGTTTAACTTCAGTCACTGATCAAAATCATGTCAAAGATTAAAAACTGATTCAAATAATCATAATAATAAAGTCAACAAGAACAGATTTTGATCCTTCCTGAAACAGATGAAGACAGAAAACGACTCGCTTTAACAGGAAGCAGAACTGTGCTCACGATGACCTCAGTTTAACTCAAACCTCTCTGTCATTTGAAGATCCCCATAAAAACTGTGTGATATTTAGGGATGTCCCGATACAACATTCTAACTTCCGATACGATACCGATATTAAAGCCTTCAGTACGAACCGATACCGATATTAATCCGATATCAGCACAAATCATGAATACTTTACTTTTACCTATTTTGTTGAGTGGAATGTATGAACGGCTAGATCAAACTAAGAACAAAAGTCAGCAACAGTTAGTATGGAAATAAACGACCAATTTATAAACTATTGGTTGCATAAATGTGAACCTTTTACATAAGAATATATAAAAAGAATTAATAAATATTAAGACCCTGAAAAAAATCTTAATTTAATAAACCAAATCTATATTTTTAAAGTGCAAAAAACTAATTAAAGGTCACTTAAGTTATTTACTTTTTATTATCAGCAAATTGTAGAAACAGCTGAGAGCAGAAACATTAGAGAAAAAAACATTGTTAATTGAACAACTGCTAATGGTTGAGTGTCCAAAGTTTCAATTACACACACAGCTTCTTGATGAATTTGTGATCCAGTTTCGAGCTGAAAAATATCTTTCACACAGGGGAGCAGAAATAGGGAGTTAATGTTATAAGTTATTGTTAAATTAATAAAAATGTGCAGATATTTAATCTGTGTTTGTATCATAGGAAGATTATGGCTTTATCAATGTTCCCAAACAAAACCTTATTAATTTTAATAATAATATATATTGCACATATTATCTTTAACATAAATTTACTTGCAGTAGCTGGATTGAAACACACCTTTTCTTCACAGCACATGCAATAATGTGACTTTAAAAAATAATTTTATTTATCAAAATTCATTTTATTTGTATAATATAAAGCACAGATTCCACCCTACTGCCCACATGAGAAAAGTATGACAATGTAAATAGAGACAGAACTGCAAAATCATGTGCAAAGCTGACACTGTTGATCAGAGCACTTTATCTTCTGGGCTTTTTAAAGAAGAGTTAAACATGGGAATGCCTCTAATTAAATTTTACTTCTGCCAGAAAGTAATACCATTCTGTCTTTTAAACTGTAATGGCCCTCAGCAACAGCATGATTTCTTATTCTTATTTAATAGACAATTAAAACAACAAAAATGTTTAGCATTTAACACCTTTTACATGACAGCTATAGAAAACGAAAGCAGAATCCGGGACATGTTAGGCGATTTAGAAATCCTGGCTGAATGCATTTTTAAGTCTCAAATAGAGGACGTGTCCCGGAAAAAGAGGATGTATTGTCAGCCTAAATAATGAGCTGGGTCAGACTATTTAGTAAAAGGCTTTTCTTCGCCTGTCCTCGCGCTCTTCTCAATGCGACTATTAAAGTCAGATGTCCTGCGCATCTCTGAAGTCTGAAGCAGCAGAGCACCCGAGTCTGTGGAGTTTCTCACGCACACAGAACCGGGCCGCTGAGGTAAAGTCTTATGTGTGGGAAGCGCTGGTGTTGAATTGGCTATCACACTGGATAAACCACGATATGCCATGGCCGAATTGTAACGTAGATGTTTAAAATGAGGCTAGCATGGTGTGCGGTTGTCGCCATTTA